ACACTGACTGCCAGTATTACACATCTATTACTGCATTATAGAGACACTAGTCTTACAAGCGGTGAGTAGTCATCAATATATCCATGTATTCAATGCTATTCAATGTCTCACTTCCTCTACAGTTAACTCATAATCATTTGATTTGAATCACCATTTGGTTGGCATTGCGTTGATTTGGTTGAACTCCGAGCACAGCTACTAATGGCACAAAACGACACAAAGACCTACTCTTTGGAGGAAGTGGCCAAACATAACGAGAAGAAGTCGGTTTGGCTGCTCATCCACGACGGCGTCTACGATGTGACCAAATTCCTCGAAGAGGTGAGTGTTTGCGTGAATGGTCTCGTGAATGGACACTAATGTGGTGATTGTGTGATGTCTGGTCAGCACCCGGGAGGTGAAGAGGTGCTCATAGAGCAGGCCGGACGCGACGCCACCGAGTCTTTCGAAGACGTGGGCCACTCATCGGACGCCAGGGATCTGATGAGTCAGTACAAGATCGGCGAGTTATGTGAGGTATGTGTCCATCAGTTGCTATATATTTGTTTTTGTGATTACGAGTAATGAGTATTAATAGTGAATTAATGAGTGTTTAATGCATTGATTGTTTGATTGTCTTATAGGAGGACAAGAAGAAGACGAAGAAAATTCAGGTAAATATTCGGTGTTTTGTCATTGAATGGCATTTATTGTCATAACAGCGCTTTTAGTGGAACTCATAGCTAATTGTTGATGAATTGTTGACTTGTCTTTCTGGCAGAAGAAATCTTGCGAAATAATGTAGACATCCTTTGAACAGAGATTCAGTGATTTAATGCAAAACCGCATCAATACATACATTAGGGTAGAGAACAACCAATTACTGTATAATATTCATACGTCTGTCGATACCTCTGTTTATAATCTTTACTGATATGCCGTTTAAACTCTACTAAACGCATGCCATTCCCCGCATTCACTGTCTGTTCAAAATTATTCAATTACTTTAATATACTAACACTGATATGAGAAATGCTTCAAACTATTACTAATCGTATGAATGTCCGTTTGTGTCCCAATACCGTCCCCATAGGCAGCATAACTGTTGAATTAGTCTAAAATAAATGTATTGTTAAAAAAAGTAATTTTAATTCACTTTATATCTGATCTATTAGGAGAAGAATCACTGGGGCTCTACTCCGACCCCTTCAGGTGACAGTAGCAGTTGGCGCTCGTGGGCCATACCCGTCGGCTTTGCTTTATTTGCTACTTTTGTCTATAGATTTTATTTGCATTATTCCGTTTAAATATTGATAACATTTAAAATCAAAAACTCAGTCCCAAATAGTACTGACTTTCTTCCGAAATGTTTTCTATTAAAAGCCTTTTAAACAAAAACAAAAGCATGTCTTTGATTACAATTTAATAATCAGCCCTTGATTTCCATTCTGTAATCGGTTTCTCGTCCTAATCCACACTTTCTCGGTCTATCCATAGCTCTATTGATTCTTATGATTAATAACGTTTCGTATTGTATTTTATTATAACTGTAATATTTGTCGTTATATATATATAATTAGTGTTTTAAAAGTTTAGTATCAATTAATTGCAATTTATTTATACAAATAGTTGTTATCAATCAAATAACACAAACATTGTTTTCGATTATATAAACCATAAGTATTTTATACCACTTATTATAATTACTGTTTATTTTTGGGAACAATTGTTAAAAATTCTTTTATTTTTTAAGACAATAAAATAAAATATCAAAAACTAATGTCTCATTGAAAGCAATACTCCATCGGTTGCGCTCTGTTTGCAATGAGTCGCCAATAAATCAGTCAATTAAATACGGTTTCAAATCTGATTTTATTTCGTGTTTTAGACACAAGTTTAAGTCTTTAGTACTTTTATATATAATACAAGACATAAAACAGTTCTTTAAATTATATTTTTTAATTAAAAAACAATGTTTAAATGAAAAAATGTGCAAAAAATCATATAATTATTGTTGAGAACTGCAGACAAAGCATCGGTTTGCGATTTATTGATAAATTAAAAGATGATAATCTAATGTCATTCTAATTGAAGTTCATTTCATGTATTGTTTTGCTTTTGTTTTTGCAAAAACCAAAAATAATTCCAAATTATTTCGTAATCTAATCACGAATTACACGAAATTTTTGTGATAATACTTTAGCTCTGATTCTGTTCTTAGTCGTCGCTTCAAAGGTATTGTAGGTATTGTCATATTTATTAAAAGCTTATTATTGGGGTTTGATTGCGATTTTCAAACATTTGTGTGGACCTGATGTTAAATAACCTGAATTTTGATGTCAAATATTCTGTAAGAGAAAAAAATATGCGCCTCTACTGAACACTACCTCTCATTCAACAACACACTAACAAAATCATACATACATTCATTCAACACA